GTTATTAAACTTAAATTAAATTATAATAAAAAAATAAATTAAAAAAATTACATAAAAAAATTAGAACTTTTAAATAGTTGTTTTGATATTAACATTGATATTTTTTTTTCCAAATTTTTTTGATATCTTCAAATTTATATTTTATTTAAAAATAAAATCATTAATGTTTTCTTAAAAATACATAAAATCGTATTATAACATCGACAAAGACAAATAATAAAATAGAAATTAAAATCGAGATATGTCTCGCTGCATTGAACGACTACTTTTCTAGTTTTTTTTAAACTACAATTAACCGGATGAACAAAAACTGAAATAAACAACATCTATAATAACTAAAAGTTAAAACTTTTAATTAATTTAAAATATATAACAAACTTGATACTAAACGATGATTAAATGGATAAAAATGTAATTTACTCAAAATGTTGAGTGCTGTGTGAGAAAGAGTTGGTGGAAATGAGGGGTTAAGAATGTTTATCGGCAACCCCTTATTTTTTTTAATACTTCCGACGTCGGTAATGTTGTCGTTTGGCAGTTGCATGGCCGCTCAATGTATGTAGGTATCTCTGGGACCCGCAAAAATCCACTGCCATGATTGCAACCATCGACCCATCGAGAGCTATGCCACCATGTAGCTCTGCTGTAAATCCAATTCCTCATATACCTTCATATCTTCTTACGCAAAACCTTCATCAAAATCTTCCATTTCTTCCCTATGATCCATTCACCAATGTCGAAGCAAACATACAGAGTATGTTTCTGTTTCCAGCGACGTTTCCGGATCCCTCCGGCCGAACCTCCCAACGGGATTAAGACCCTTTTCAATCAGTATTCCGAGAACAATCTCATGGACGCCAATCACCTCCAACGTTTCCTCGTTGAGGTTCAGAAACAAGACAAAGCCACGATCGCCGATGCTGAAACAATTATTACGCAAAATACCCCTTTTATCTTCCACCGTAAGGGTTTCAATCTCGAGGCCTTCTTCAGATACCTCGTTAGCGCTACTAATTCCGTTCTTTCTCCTTCTCATTCGGTAATTGTTCTATACTTTGAATTTCTTTCAATTCGACCCTTGTTTCTGGACGTTGCTAAATCATTGATAGCATATCTCTTGTGTTCGTTATCATGATGTGTGTCAGCAATGATTCGTTTGGATCTCTTTATGGAAATGCTTACTTTCAATGCTCATAGATTACTCTCAAACTCATAGATTGACAGATAATTTCAATTTTCTCCCCAACTTGATTAAACATGCTAACAAGCAGTGCCAATAAAACAATGTTTTTGGTAACTATGCTATCAATCTAAGGGAAATATGGTTGATTATAAGCACAATTAATTTATTTGTAGATTAGCATAATAAATATGCCATTGGTGTGTTATCTAATGCTTAGAGTTGGTTTGTTCACCTTTAAAACATCATCAAGAGAAGGATAAAGACTCAACTTGAATGTGTAGTCCACAACTCTCTGTTCCTTCTCTTATTCTAAACATGTATTAAGATGATCTTTTGTCATTTCTCAGGCTTCCCAAGATATGACTGCTCCATTGTCTCATTATTTTATCTACACCGGCCACAACTCGTATCTAACTGGGAATCAACTAAGTAGTGACTGTAGCGATGTTCCCATCATTCAAGCGTTGGAGAGAGGTGTAAGAGTCATTGAGTTAGACATATGGCCTAATTCGACAAAGGACGATGTGCTTGTCCTTCATGGAAGGTAACATGGTTGTATGATTTGAAGTGTTGGATATGAATGTCTTTCTTCCTGTTGCTATAATTAAGCCATGTCTTTCTATATCAGATGCATGTGCAATAGAGGCATGCCTAATTGGTTGGTTAAAATATTGTTATGGATTCCTCTTCCAATTTGTTACCACATTTTTGTTATTCTTTCTTACAACCCCTAGCTTAAGATCAAATGAAGGTGCATCTCATATATCTTCTGGTATCTGAGATTGAGTTGGTTTATGAATTTTAAACCTTTTTTAAATGGCCTTTGCTTAGCCCATGTTATAAGTCATGATAGTGTTTCTACCTGCAAAACTTGCTTGATATATGGCCTTTGTTTTTGACCTTTTTGTTATGCTTTACAGGACATTGACCACTCCTGTCGAACTTCGCACATGTTTAATGTCTATCAAGAATCATGCTTTCTCTGCATCTGAGTACCCTGTTGTGGTTACTTTGGAAGACCACCTTACCACAGATCTTCAGGCTAAAGTGGCAGAGGTAACTTGTATTTTCATTTTGTTCTATTGGTTTTGGAAATTTTCTCTTTAAATAAAAAAGAGAAGCCTTGGTGTTAACAACGGTCTTGATTTCACTGATAATCTTTAAATGAATAAATTCTAGATGATCCACCAAATATTCGAAGACATGCTCTTTACTCCTGACAAAGATTGTTTAGAGGAATTCCCCTCACCAGAATCTCTTAGAAAACGGGTCATGATATCTACTAAGCCACCTAAAGAATATCTTAAAGGGGAGAAATCTGCGAAAAAGGGAAATGGATCACAAGAGAAGGATTCATCTGTAGAAGCTTGGGGCGGTGAAATTCCAAGCTCTGCTGATGTATACCTTATTGTTCCAACTTCCAACTTCAGTTTCTAGGATGGTATTGTTGGTTCCTTGACAACCGTCTCTCTTCTTGTAGGATGATTCGGATGATTCGGATGACGACGACGATGAAGATCTTCAAGCTGACAATGTAGCTTCTGAATACAAGAGTTTGATTGCCATCCATGCTGGAAAGGGAAAGGGTGGTTTGGATGATTGGCTGAAAGTGGACCCTGATAAAGTAAGACGTCTTAGCTTAAGTGAACATGAGCTTGAGAAGGCAGCGAAAACTCATGGGCCACAGATTGTCAGGTATCGGTAATTCTGTCCAACAATTTATGTTAAGAAGTGATAATAAGAGCACTCCCTACATAGAGTTCAATTTGACTGACATAATACAAGTTGGATTGCATAGGGTGGCCATCTAAACTTATTGCTGGAAGAGCCTTCTATATATCCATGTTTTTATTGAATGGATTGTTTCATGTTCTTCTGTTGTTGTTAGGTGTATGGCTGATGGTATATAGGAAGCCTACATGAAAGATTTTCACTTGCCTAGTGGTTTTTCTTCTTCTTTCTTTTTAACTTGTAGTGGCTCTCTTCGCATCCAATATTGCCTTACAAGAACAAGCAACTAGTTGGGAATGCCTTATTGTTCTTTTATATAATAAGCCTGTTGTACTGCATGCTACATTTATCATCATCGGCTGCTAACAGTTGACTTGCTCTAGATTCACCCAGAGAAATATCTTGAGGGTTTATCCTAAAGGAACACGATTCAACTCGTCTAATTATAACCCACTAGTTGGATGGATGCATGGTGCTCAGATGGTGGCATTCAATATGCAGGTAACCATTATTTGTAGATTGTGTTGCAAAGAAATGCAGAAGTTCATCATTGTGCATATAAATTATGTACTCCCTCCATTACGTTAATTGCACTATTTGACCAAAACGTAATTTAAGGGGAGTTTTTGACTAATAGTCAGGTTTCTAGACTCTAGAACATGCTTTGGGGTTGGGTAGTTTCCTTTGCTATGTTTCCATATACATGCACCTTGTTTTGTGGTATCGTTTGCTTTTAACTAGTCTTATCTCTTTTCAGTTTTTGGTGTATCTTCCTTTCTGGCCTCAAGTTCTCTTTCGAATTCCTTTCCCTTTTCCAAAATTCTTCAGGTCTCCTCCGTACATCTTACCCCCGACCCTAGGTACAACTCAGTTTAAAGGTTATCTACAATACACTTGATATTGACAACTTTCTTTTAAGCACAAAATGAACATGGGAATGCAAAGGTTATCCATAGTCATAATGCATCAAGGCCAAAGGTGTTCTATAAGCGCAAAACACATTGCAAACTTTCTTCATGCATATATTACAATACTACCATATCAAACCCCATAAATTGATGGCGCCATGATGGTTCATCACTGCTGCCTGTAAATTGTGATGCAACCATGACAAACAAGAAGTTCATCATTCTCTTTCACCATGCTTGGAATTTCCACTTATATAATTTGCAATCTTCACCATGCATATTTGGTTTTACCTTAAATAAGGAAGTAGTAAGTTGTGATTACATATGCAACAGGGGTATGGAAGGTCACTGTGGTTGATGCAAGGAATGTTCAGGGCCAATGGGGGATGCGGGTATGTTAAAAAACCACAACTCTTGTTGAAGGGTGGTGATGAGATTTTTGATCCCAGAATACAACTACCCGTCACAATGACGTTGAAGGCAAGTGACCCACTAATGAAGTTGAATTGTGTGTTAATTTGTTGTTCCTAACCTAATAACTCTTTCTTATAAGTTGTTGATATTGGTATTCAGATAACTCTTTATATGGGTGAAGGATGGTATTATGATTTTGAACACACTCATTTTGATGCATACTCTCCTCCAGATTTCTATGCAAGGGTAAGCCCAATGTCTTCTTAATAGTAATTAATAACTTGAATCTCGTAACATTGTTGTTAACAAGTGAGATTCAGCAGATTGGAATTGCTGGAGTACTTGCTGATTCTGTGATTAAAAAAACAAAGATGGTGGAGGATAGTTGGAACCCTGCTTGGAACGAAGAATTTGAGTTCTGTATAACGGTTCCAGAACTGGCTTTGCTTCGGATTGAAGTTCATGAATACGATATGTCAGAAAAGGATGATTTCGCAGGCCAAACATGCTTACCGGTAAAGGAGCTAAGTAAAGGCATTCGATCTGTTCCATTATACAGTCAAAAGGGCGACATTTACCCATCGGTAAAGCTTCTAATGTCGCTCAACACTCTTTAACTTTGCTTTCAAAATACAAACCAAGGATATAGCAAAAACTCAAGTTTTGGTACGAAGGAGGAGACCGTCATTGGTTGGCTTTCGACCAATCAAATGTTTGACATATTATTGGCAAACATGTAAATGATGCATCCATCCATCCATCCATCCATCCATCCATCAATCATAAGGCTACCAAATTGTAAATGTAGCAGCACTGCACAATCAAGCAAATACATGGACCTGTTACCTCAAATCCATATATAGTACACAAATGACATGCCTTTGATAACAAGATGCGCTTGTTTATTTATATATGTAGTCTGAATTATTATATTATGATGGTTTTTGAAATAATAGTAATCACTAGAGGTGTTCAAAAACCGATTATAATCAAAAAGCATCTAAGGCCGCTATATGATTAGCTATGCATAACTGATCCTAGGTCGTTAACCAAAATGTGACCGATAAAGGGTTGGTCCACTGTAAGGCGAAGGATTGTGTTAGAAAGGAAGTTACGGTGAGAAGCGTAAGAAGAGATCTGAACCTTTGATCACTTTTAATCTCATGTCCACTGATGAATTGCGGTTTAGAAGGGAATTGATTCTGTGCATCTCATTAGTGTTGACATTCAATTAGGATTGAATCTAAAGGTGAAGATCTCTTCTTACGTTTTTCAATTTAACTTCTCTTCTTATTGGAACCCAACCCTTCATTGTAATTGGTACGTTTTTATTCTACGTTTTTATATCCTTAAGAGTATGATTGAATACTTGAAGTAAAGAGATATCGCATGGTCATACATGCCAAGTTAAGTGATATTTTGATCATAACAGAAAAAGATTTAAAATATGTAAAACTGTTGGAACTTATTAAAGTTTAGGAGCCGTTTACTAAACATTTACCGGGTAAGCATTTACTGGCAAGAGTTTATACCCCCTTACCCTATTGGTTAATATTTTGGGGCATCAAAATAGATTGTTGGTAATTGTCACTTACCCGGTCAGCATTTACCATATTAGAGTCTTCTCTTTCACTTATCGGGTAAGGTTCTAGATCCTTGCTATATCTCTTACTGGAATACCGGGTAAGATTCCCGATCCTTGCCATGTTCACCCTAGTAAGCGTTTAGTAAACGGCCTGTAAAGGGATACTCGACAAAAATGATGCTCATTTCAATTTTTACAAAGTACAAGCAATAGTATTTGTATCAAATTTTTTGATACCAAGTGTATAGTTTTATGATAACAATGTAAATTTGGACGTTGAGAATGCATGTACTCCTTTCCATGCTAAAGTAAGGGGTTGTTTATCAAACATCTTACTTGATAGATGTTTATCGAGTCATTTACTTTATCAGATGAACATGGCAAGTATCAAAAATCTTACTCGGTAAGATAAGTAGGAGCGTTGACTCTTACCATTAACATCGTGTGCTCGAATTTGGGGAGAAAAGGCAAATACAGTTTTTATTTGTGTTCAGGAAAAGAAAATAAAGAAAATAATTTATCATGTTATTAAACAAGAGAGAAAGGAAAGAAAAAAAATGTTACCTTTACAAATATACCATTTAAAAGTATACTCTCTAGTCTTTGTAATGAAATATTGGATAGTTTTGTAATTTGAATAATCTTTTAAATAATTTTAATTTCTTTCATTTTCTTTCCTTCCCTTTCATTTGAAAGGGTGGTGCCTGATTGGTTTGAGCTTGGCTCCAAAGATCAAAAATACCAGAAGGTCTCAGATTCAAATCCAAGGAGAAATAAAAATCTCCTTGTGGCCATAGAGGTTCAAATACGGTGACTCCGGGCTATCTGCAAAGCAGGTGGTCGCCCTGGGATTAGTCGGTTCACATAACGGATTGGATATCCAGGTTAATAAAAAAAATCCTTAAAACTATGTGTAATCTTGTCTCATCTTCTACTTTTTGTTTCATTTATTTAGGTAGGTACTAGAGTTGTTATTATTTCAGTTACTTTGTTATCTTAGTCGGTATATTAGTTAGACTAATTTTGTACACGTATGTTGTGATTTAGTCTCTGTATATATTGAGTTGTTGCTTCTAAATAAGATATACATAAATTCCTCAGTCTCTCTCTACTTCCAATTTCTCTCTACTCTTGTTTTATCAGTAGGAAAAAATACACCCTCGTTGTTACTTAAGGTCGTTTACCAAACGCATACCAAGTGATATTACCTTACTGGATGAATATGGTAATGATCAAGAATCTTATACGGTAAGAGCGAGACAAGAACCAACAGTCTTACCCGGTAAATGAGTGGACTAAATATGGTAAGGAGCATGATTAGCGCTTAGCATACAATGCCGTTTTAGTAGACTAAAATCTTACCTGGTAAGTAAGTGATAGTGTTGAATTTTACCGGTAATTACCGGTAAGCGCTTACCGGGTAAGTGTTTGGTAAACGACCCCTTAATCCTGTCATGGTTCTCTGATGTCACATTATATGTGAGACAATAAGTTTTTGTTTTATCTCATCTCTTGTACCAAACACACCATTAAGGTTTTGACAAGCTCTTGTTTACTTTTAATCCAGAACATGATTCATAAAACGCGATACAATCAAACGATGACTTTTACGCCCTCTTTGGAACACTTTTTCTAGTTCTATTTGGTAGGAAATCGACATATTTCAAGATTCTTTTCTGCAATATTTTTGTTCGGTTCATTATTATGCATAGAGGTTAGGTGTTTAGAAGTTTTAAACCGAAATTTTTTTCAGAAAACAAAAGATACATTGACAATATGCATAGAGGTTATGTTAGAAGTTTTATGAACACTTAGGGTCCGTTTACTAAACACTTACTTGGTAAGTGTTTACCGGATAAATCTCCTTATCGGATGAACATGAGAATGACCAAGAATCTTACCGGGTAAGAGCGATGAAAATGATGGAGAATCTTATCCGGTAAGTGAGGATGACGACTCTTACCCAATAAATTGTTGCATTCGATATGTTTTGATGTACTAAAATCTTGCATATCAAAATAAATCATAGTGTTGTTTGCTATCGATAAGCGCTTACCGGGTAAGCAATTGGGTAAACTGCCCTTTAATTATTTAGTAATGAATAAGATATTTACAAAAAACATTTGTATACTGAGTTTAAATAAGAAAAAGTTTTGAAAATCCAATAAACTGTTCTATTTGGTTTTTCTGGCTCTTTATATAAAAGTTCCAAAAAAAATCCAATCTACATTACTATGATATCTATACATCTAGTAAAGAAGAAACCACGTACAATGACGTGACCTCCTCTCAAAAATAGAAAGTGTTTTATTATTTTTCTCCTTTTCTCAAGCTTCTTCTACCTCAGTATTTATTTTTTTATTTTTGATATTCACATTTAAGACCCTTTAATTATGTTATTTCAACCTACTCATGTTCTCTCTAATAAAATCTCTCTTTTAACTTTTATTATTTCTCTCTATTCGGTTATAGTTTTTCATCTTCTTTTCATGGTACACCTCTATGTTAATCTCTCAATTCTTTCTCTCTATTCAGTTATTTTTTGTGGAGGCGATTTGCATTTTTGTTGATATGAGACGTCATTCAATAAGACAAATCATGATATGCGTTTTTGCTTATGTAAGTATAGTATTTCGTCTTTTAGTCGGAGACTTTCACACTAAAATTGGAATTATATAGGTATATGAATATTTTTTTTTGTGTTGATAAAGGGGCATATGAATCCTTGATGAAATAAGGTAACATTTATTTAAGCATAATAATCTTTCTTAATCTCTCGATTGAATGAATTCCGAGATGGAATTCTTTTGAGGACAAGATATTATTATAACCGGTTTATTGAATTAAAAGTTTAAGCGTTGCTTTTGATAAGTGTTGAAAGTTGAAGGGCTGCTTTGAAAGTGGTGTTAAAATATCCCATTTGGTCACCGCCTTACTCTTTTAAAAGAGTTTTTATAAGATTATGTGTTATTATTGTTTCCTTAGAAAGAAAAGTCGGTGTGTGTATTTTTTACTCTCTGGTTCGAGCAAGCAGAAAGGAAGATAGAAGAAACTGATTATAAGTGTTCTTAATTGTTCTTATTGCTGAATTTAAAGTTCCCATCTACGTGAGATATCAACTGATAGTAATAAGAGTGACATCTGAAACTGGTATTATTTGATAATAAATGTGGCATAATCAGGAGTTGAGTATATCTTTGTAATGAGGGTGACATAATCAGGAGTTGGGTATACTGGAATAAGGATGACATAATCAAATTTTGGAAATGATGATGTTTTGATCATGGAAATCTGTTATCTCATCAGTGTGATGCGATGAGGTTGATTTTATCGCATAGACGTGACGCGATGAATTGGGATGGAAATTGAAGTGTTATTTATCACATCCTTGTGATGCGAAATGATGGGTTTATCGCATCAGTATGATGCGAAAAATATGTTTACCGCATCAATGAAATGTGACAAAAAGTGGTTATCGCATCTATGTGATGCAACAAGATTGCGTTATCGAATCAATGAGATGCGAGGAAATAATTATCACCTCATTGAGATGCGACAAGGGGTTATCGCATGTGTATGATGCAACAAAAATATGTTATCGCATCAGTGTGATGAGATAAGTTAGTATATTATATATTGGATGCGACAACTTGAATATTTGGTTATTTAATGCGGTAAATTTGATACCTCAATGGATCATGATGCGATAAGATTATGTTGTCTCATCTATATGATACGACAAAAAGGTTTGTCTCAATAAAATGTTGTTTATTTGTTTTTAAAATACAAATATGCGCTTTCAAATAATGTTTTGGTGATTTTCACTTGTAATAGCATTCAAAAGGAATTAGTCACTAGACTTTGTGATCTAACCCTCATTTTATGTTTAAAAGTGTGCATTACAGGTCGGACATATTTGGAGGATAAGGGAAAGGGGAAGATGTGAAGGGGAATTAATATTGTTTACATCTGTGGATTTTGAGGGACTGAATATATGTGCATGTACTTGCAAATATGTTATATACAAGTCATGTACTTGATATAAATGAAAATTTTGTAGCTACTTTTATACGTAGTATTATGTACATCTTGGGACCAATGTGAATATTTATACTTCATACTAA